TTTGAAAATCCACATAGCATCAATACAGATTGTACTATGAAAGTGTACAAGAAAACAGAAAAAGCACATTTCATAAAATTTCAATCAACATCTCTGGCACTGTTTCAACAACAAAAGAGGAACCCTAAAATGTGTGCATTATTCCAGTGGATTTCTTAGCCCATCGAAGGAAATTATGTTTTAATTTCAATCTGGTTCTCTTTAGAACCTTCCAGAATGAATTATACAACGGTGCAATTAAAATTTAGTGATTTATGCCTTGCAGATGGTGTTATAATACAATGCAGTGCTTCCACTCTTGTTTTCCCATAGACTGTATCTCCTCCAAAGTTCGTTTTTCTCAGGCTCTTGTTTTCCCATAGACTGTATCTATCTCCTCCAAAGTTCGTTTTTCTCAGGCATTGTGTTTGCTGTGTCACAATAAATCCTTCCTTCCACTAATATTTCAGTGACTGCTGCAATATTTGTAGGAATGTTCTGTTTACCAAAATCAAAAGTTGTGTCGTTCTGTTCTCACTATCTGCTACAATTAAACAGTTTCAATGGGACAAACCATAAATTATAAGAATTATTATTTCAGACTTAGTTCCAAAATATCGTCCCCATTTCTGGTGTAAAGCAGCCAAGTGTGTTTAGCTTTAGAGGTCAAAGACAAGTAATAATAATAAAAAGTGGCAGAGGAAGGCTGGGAAACTCAGAGGGAGCCAGGTACCCTGTTCTTTTCCTGCCTTGCTTTGCCAAGAATGTGCAAAATAAATTCCTTCTTTCCTCTTGCCCCATATTTTAGTCAAGTTTTTTCTCTTGCCAAATTGTCTGTTATTACTATGCATGTCCTTTTAGTCCTTTTATTCTCAGTCCCTTCTTACTTAAGTACTTAAGGAGCTTGTTTTTCTTAATTTTCCCTTTTGCCAGGAAGTGATTCCCAGTAAATAAGTGTTGAGTTCTCTCCCTTAGGAATCCCATGAATGTCACTGTGTAGCTGTGGGAGAAGGATTGACACTTTCAGCTCCTGAAGTTACACTGGATGCATGGGAATCTCAACATACAGCCATCACATTTTTCTGTTTGCAAAGAAAAACTTGAGAATGCAAAATTTGAAATTTCTATTGCCAGTCATCAAGTGTAGGCAGCCACTTTTTTAATAAGATACTTTTTTAAATAGAGAAAAAATAATTATTTACATTTAACTTATTAAATGTATATTTATTTATTAATGCTTATTAATGTTTAGTGTTGGCAGTAGACCCTCCTGTTTATATTTACCTTGTGAAGTAGTTTTGTGCAGTTTCTGGATTCATTCTAAGTTATTTTAACGCACACCTGAAGAACAGATGTCACCTTAGAGCAGCTCCCTTTGGAAACTTCCAGCATCAGTAATGGCAATGAGAGATGAGCTGCCTGGATAAACAAGATACTCTTTCAAGAACCTGAGGTGTAGGCAAGCTCTGCAGTGATGAATGTTTTAACATTTAATCTGCTCTTACCTGTTGTATTTCAAGGGCTCTGGAGTGAGCAGCCTGTACCCAAACTGAGTATGTTTCTGCCAGATTTTTGTTAATAGGCAATGACACATCAGACACACTCATCTGCATTCAGGAAGGCACGTGATACTTTGTTCAAATGTATGCCATTGTTATTAAAGATGCTCAGCAAAGATAATTGCCAAGTTGCTTAAGTAAATACACTGAGAGTGACATTTAGCCATTCCCCTCAGAAAAAAATAACTGTCCTTTCATTTTATGTCTCCTAAATGCAGCTCTGGCCCTCCACAGTGATGCAGTAATATATGCCAAAAGCATTATCCTCAAGTGACATGACCTCTGTGTCTGAGTACCTCCCAAGGACTGCGGGTCTGTGCCATGGAGACAACTTGCCTCAGAGGTTCAAAAATCCAATTTCCTCAAACCTGCAAAGCTTAATAAATTCAGCTTCTATTTGGCATTCCAATCTTACCTGAAGCTTTCTAACCATAATGGTCTGTTGTTACATAGCAATTTTAATAAAGGGAGTGCAAAATAAATCATGAAGAAAACTGTTCTGTATACAGGGGTGGGAAAACTGAAGCCTTTATTGTTAGTTCAGTATCACAACATAGCGACAGGTTCAGAAGATCCCATGTATGTATTTGCCCTAGGCTGCTACTCTGCTCACTCATCATTACTGTCAAAGAGGAATACAACCCCAAGTGTGAAGGCTGGGGAAGACAGAATTATTCTTTCAGGTAGCTTGAAACATTTCACTGTTTGAAATTATGTCTTCTGTCATTCACTGCTAAGCAGACACTTTTGAGATGTAGTCAAAACCCATGAGAAATATGTAGATATCACAATTCACTTGTAGGTCAGCACTGGAGAAATCAACCCTTTAAGCACCTACCACTCTTTTCTTCTCGCTTCCTTAAGTTCATGAGTATGATGCAAATCTCCTTGATTCAAGCTAGTAAAATTGAGATCAGAGTTAGATTACTACTGCAACTTTTAAACTGAAAAATGATAATTTGAGGACAGAATCGGTGAAAATCCGTTGTTAGAGGCAGCCAGTATCAAGAGGTGTCAGGGTTACAGAACAGTATATTTGTGTAAGCAGCTGTATTACCCAGCTTTGAGGAAAACATTATTTTCCTCACAAAAAAAAAAAAAAAGAAGGTTGATTGGATTGGGGAGCACATTAAACTGCCATATAAACACTGGCTATCATGTGGCCTTCCAGTATCTTAGGGGGGCCTACAAGAAAGCTGGGGAGGGACTTTTTAGGGTACCAAGTAACAACAGGACTAGGGGGAACGGGGCAAAGCTGGCAGTGGGCAGATTCAGGCTGGACGTGAGGAAGAAGTTCTTCCCCATGAGAGTGGTGAGACCCTGGAATGGGTTGCCCAGGGAGGTGGATGAGGCCCCATCCCTGGGGGTCTTTAAGGCCAGGCTGGAGGAGGCTCTGGGCAGCCTGATCTAGTGGGAGGTGTCCCTGCTCATGGCAGAGGGGTTGGAACTGGGGGATCCTTGTGGTCCCTTCCAACCCTGACAGATTCTGATCTGTTTTAGCAGAGGACTTTAGAGCCCTAATGGCTCAATGGTTGGACTTGATGATCTTGAAGGTCCCTTCCAACTTAAAGGATTCTATGATTCTATGATTTATAGCTAAAATTTTATTTAAGCTATTTTTTTCTTTCCTCTCAGGTATTGTCATTCCCCCTTTTCACCTCTTCTAAATCCAACAATTTAAATGTCTATTTTGTGGAGTCCTTTTCCTGCCATATCTTCAGCATGTTTTCTACTACCTTTCTCAGTGTCCTTCCTGTGCCCCTCCTTTGTAGTGCACATATGTAGACATCTATGTGGTTTTAAATGAGAGGAGATAAAAGCCAAAGCGGTGAATGCTGTCAAATGCATGTAGACATTGGGCCACTTCAATAGCACTCTGCCCTGTCAGCAAGATCTGAGCCTGTATGGTTCCCCCCTATCTATAGTCTGCTTTTTTAACATCCAGAATTCCTCTTCCATTTCTTCTTTCCACTGGTAAGCTGATATTTTTTTGTACTTTTTCCCATGTTCTGGAGCAGCTTTCCTGACTATCTGCCAGACTACTTCTGGCTTCCCTGTCTGTCTACAAACACAGCACAGAAACAAAGCATCACAACTTCTCCCAGCTCATTCGTCCTGCTAAGCTGCAAAGTATTTAACCCAACGGCAGTGCTGCTGTACCCCTTCCAGTATCTGAGTCACCACGAGGACCTGTGCGTGCAGACTGCCTGGCCACAGACAAACCTGCAGCCTCAGTCCCTAGGCAGGGGCCTAAGCAGCTCACAGAAGTTTACAGAAATAAATTGAGATGATGACCTGAGTAAGTCATTGCAGAACTGCTTTGTGGACACCCTTAGAGCAGTTTACATCACTTATTGAGTGATTTAGCTTGCATCAGTGAATCTCAAAGGTTTTATACCTGAATCCTAAGGAAAGCGCCTGAAAAAGAAAATTAATTCTTACAAGGCAATACCACAATATAAAAGTTGCATAAAATGCGTTCATTGATTTTTTCTTTTATTTTCTTGATTGCATAGTAGAAGAATCTCTATTACTGTGTGCTGTTGTCTTTGTGAAAATCAATATGTTTCTAAAATGTAGCCTTTGCAGACAGCAGTTCCTCAGATCTAACAAAGTTACTGCCACAGAGCCATTTTTCTTGCCACAGAGATGCCTTAAGATATGGGTATCATTGTAGCCTGTTCATGGGCCTAGCAAGGGGCAAGAAACCCCCATATCATACCAGATAACTGAGGATTTACATATCAGCTCTTTTCTCTAGTCTGCTGTGTTCTATTCTCTAGGATAGCCATACTTTTGTTTTTTAAAAAGTTTATTTAGAGTTGCAAAGAAAAACAAACAAACAAAAAACGCCACAGATTACAAATTTACCCTTAACTGGTGATTTTTCCCTTGTTTAAAAGTAGCACAAGTAATTTTTTCTGAGATGAGAATGTTCTTCAGCTCATCTATGCGCTGATTCTGAAGCTTTAATCACAAATCAGATGGAAACATAATTTCTTTCATCTGGAGAGAGACGCAAAGAGAGGCAGAGGTGTGTCCTGCAGAACACAGAAGTGAGAAGGGCAGTTGCCATGCAGCCTGCACGCACTGCTGTGCCCTCATGCTCAGATGGGTTATGGCTCTTGCTTCCTCGTGGTGTGGAATGAGAAAATACTACTGCTTTTTTTCTAAATTTGATCCCCATGCCACCTGAACAGTCTCGTGTCCTCTCCACGTCCTGGACTTCAGTTGTCTCAGTTTTAAATGTTCCTTCCCCTGTGCTGTGTCAGCCAGTAGAGTGAGCAGCAGCAGGAGCAGGGGTAGGAAGTTGGGAGCCGGAGGAAGGCGGGAGCTTTCCTTGTCCTACGGGAGCTGTTCTGGTTGCTCTGTGTCTTTAAGGGGCTGACCCGCTCCCCCGGTGAGCCGCTATAAAGGCAGGTAAGCAGCAGTGCCCCGCTCAAAGAGCCGGGAGCGAGGCGGGGGCAGCTCCCCGATAATGACTGGCCACCGCAGTTGGGGATATGGGCGGGATGACGGTAGGTTACAGCATTTCCCTGCTGCCTCTTTCTTCCCCCACGCATTTTCTTTCTAGAACTGTTGCCTGAGCCCTGCAGAGCTGCCTGCATTTTGTATCTGCAAGCACCAAGTATATACAGCAGGTAATTAATTACTTTCTTGATAATAAATAGCACCCAGACAGTGGCACCAAAAGATGTTTGAACTTACCCCTGCTGCCTTTCAGTGCTGCAATCAATGTTCCTAAACTGGGGGAAGCAGTACTGAGTGATCTTTTTCAGGTTGCAGATATTACAGATGGGTCCCTCTCCCAAAAGCTGTTATGAGAAGGATTCACTGCATCTGTCTCTCCAAAAGCACCTCTTTTAAGTACGGAAGATTTTGTAGAGCAGTAATAGGTCTCCTGCCCTGTGGAGCTGTTGAAATGTGATATCTGGGCTTCCAGAGAAGTGAATAAAAAAAGGTATATGTTCTGTGTTTCTAGAATCCAAACAAATTGTGCAAATCAGTATCAGAGATCTCTTACAGCACCATTTATGCTTCCTGATTTGGCAGTTTTTAATTTAGTCATTCTCCTTTGCTTCCCACCTCTAAGAATGCATGTCACAGAGTGAGAGGATATGTGGAGTTACTGAGAGATTCCTACAGCAGTGTTTTATAGCACCTGTATCCTTTACAGAGAAGGATGGATGAGTGACTGAAGATCTCCAATAAGACAGTCTTTTGCATAACTTTCAGATGTCTCTCTCTTTTGACAGCAATTATTTTGGCTGCTAAAGGTCCAACAGGAGTCTTTTGCATAACCTTTAGGAGCCATTCTCTCTTAGCAGTAATAATTTTAGTTTCTGTGAGTTCAAAAGTAAGTTTGAAAGTTAGGTGAAGCTGGTTAGTGCTAGTACAGAGCACTGTGTTTGGGCATAAAGGTAGTAGCAATAAAGCTCGTAAGCGACAAATCATAATGCCTAAGCTTGTGTAACAGCATTTAAATCCTAAATCTACTTTATAGGCAGGCTGTGAAAAGACACTATTTTACAAGTGTAGTTTTTTCAGAAAATGCCAAAGACAAATCAGAGTATAACAGATTGCTTTCTTAGTTATGTAAACTCAAGGAGGGTAAACACCTATGCTTGATTTTAAAACAAACTTGTGAAACAACTTGTGAAAGTATGTGAGAATGCTACAATTAGGAATGTGCTTCTTGAGACTGTTAAAGTACAATTGTTACTGTTAATACTTTATCAACATAAGCAATAAAAGAATTTGATGGCTTCTTGCACTATCATATCAAAGTAAGAAAAGGAGTTGTAAGAATAAGTTAATTCTTGATATAGGTAAGGTTCTGTTAAACAGTGTAATAATGTTGCACCTATGGCAGCAGAGAGCTGTGTTATTAAATTGGGCTTTTTCCCCACTCTATTGGGGTCAGGAAGTCCAAAAATGTTCATTATCACACTGTACCCTTCACTCGGGGTAGAGCGATACCATAATGGGCATGAGTGAAGAATGAAGCTGCCTCAGATTTACTGCAGTCATAAAAGGGTTTTAAAAATAACTGTATAGTCAGTAGCTAAGAGATTGAGTCATCTGCATCTAATTTGAATCCCTGGAGCTTTTACACTATCTTTCCCAGCAATAATGAAATGCTGTTTCTTTGGGGGAGTGCATGCAAGTGTGCTTATATCTGCACCCCCCTTGGAAGGTCTTTGGACACCTTAGCAATGTGATGACAAACTCTGCAGAGAACTAGCGGCACATACCTGAGGATACAGCAGTTGGTCATTGTGCTGTGATTTCCTCAGTGTGTTTTGTACAAGATATTTGAATCTTATCGCAGCTGATTTGTGCTAATAAAAACACACCAGTTTAGGATTTCAGTGAACTTCTCAGATACCAAACTTGCAAGTCACTCCTGCTCAGCAAACTTTACTTCAAGCCTCACGAAAACCTGCAATGGTTATTTTGTGTATAGTAGGAACAGAATAATGATTCTTTCCTTTCTTTCCTTCTGAAGGACCTTCAGAGTGGCATAAATCCTACCCTATTGCCGAAGGGAACCGCCAGTCACCTATTGATATAGTTTCTGCAAAAGCAGTTTATGACCCTAATCTGAAGCCACTTATTATCTCCTATGAATCATGTTCATCTCTCAGCATCTCCAACAATGGCCATTCAGTTATGGTTGAGTTTGAAGATACTGATGACAAGACAGGTGAGACTAACACACAGCCAACTAACTTGGAATACTATTTTGTGACTTGGCAAGGTGAAAAAAGAACATCCTGTATAGTATATTTTATATGATGTATAATTTCACTTTAGAACAAGGTATATGACCAAAGCCCTTTATATTTTGTCTTTAAGCATCACATTTCTCGTCTTTGCTTAAGTCTCTCTAGCAGTGGAATATTGCATAGCAGAATTAGGAAAATTCCTCTTGCATCAGGAAAATCAGAAGTTTGTTTGCAGTGCTTCCCTTTTAAATGGGGATTGTCATTTTGCTAGACAGGGAATCCACACATCTCTCCAGCACGGCTAGGCCACATCCAGCATGCACAGTAGATAGGTACAGCCTTCACTGTCCTGTTTCCATGATACTCCAAAAGAAAGGTGCTAACACACGTGCCCATTCTGCCCAGTTTCCATCCACAAGGGTAGGGGAGAGGATTTAAAGATCAGGTCACACAGTGTAGTCATCATAATCATAGTCACCAAGTTGGATCTGGACCAGTCACTGGCACCTTGCACTGATTTCTTCTTTCCTCCCTGCCTCATAGCACTTGAATTTCTTCAGAAATTATAAAATCTTCAGCTAATTCTGAGTTGGTAGCAGCTTGTACATGTTGGACTATCTGCAGTTGTATATTATTCTTGTCTCAGCTCTTGGCAGAGACTATAAATCCTCTCAGTGATTGATTGCTTCTGTTAATGCTACCTCCATGGCAGACCTTGCTTTTACATCTGGGGGGTAGAAGAAGAGCATTCAAATGGAGACAGTGAAGTGGCTGATATATGGGAAAAGTGCATTTAAAACAAAACAAAAGCACTCTGAGCAATTTTTAAACTTACTAGGTGATTTTTCTCTTCCATTTGGGTGTGTTTATTGGTTCTTGCTAAATAGGATATATACGGGATACTCAAAACAAGTAACTTTTCTGTAAAGTGACTTGTCTGTGCAAGTAACCCTTTGAAATGAGGGCTTGTTAAAAATCCAGCCGTTTTGGTTTGTAATTTCTTTTCTGGAATGAATCCAAGGAACTGCCCAATGGAATGGTCAGGTTTTCAAGCATCTTTACTGAATTTGAAAAGAAGACGGGATGTGCATTTTCTAAAATCTTACTACACGGATCCATTAAGCATATCACCCTACAAAGAGAACTTGTAAAATATATCTTGAAGTATTATCTTAGCTTGCTAATGACTTTCATGCAGTTCTAAGCTGAACTCTATCCATGTAACAGTGACCTTTATCCAGCTTTAGAAGTTTTCCGAACACAATCTATTACTCTGCATTTAGAGATACAGAGTTGGAGCACATGCAGGAATGAAAACCTCTGCCCTTCCTACACTAAGCATGTGCCTCGCTTTAATAACACTTTCAAGAAAGAAGACTGCTAGGAGTGGAAAAGATGGTTTTAAAGTGTTTTTAGTTGTATTGAAATAGATCTAGTGACTCACAGCTCTGCATAAATGGCACAACAAAATTTTGACAGTAACCCATCAGAGCTAGATTTCTTAAAATCATTTGAGACAGGTGATGCATTCCATTGCTAAATTCAGAAAAATATACTAGGAGATTATTAATGCTCCTCATAAAGTATCTTCTATAAGTGGCATCTTAAACATTCATTTGTACTTAAGAATTATTTCTAAATGATCTATGAAGCTTCTATGTAGCACTTCCTCATCTTTACAAGGTGATTTGAGATTCTGAATGGTCTCGTGTAAAGTACAAGCTGTTACATTACCTCTTTTATGGGATGAGGTATTTAAAGGAAACATTACAGATAAGCTCCACTAGAAATGAAGACACTCTAAAAAGGAAATACTAAGCTGAGCTGTCTACCTGGTGCTCAATATATCTACACTCTGTTGCAGAAAATCTCAAGTAGCACTGTCAAATTTCAGGTACATGAGTTTCAAATCCCAATTTGTTTTTAATATTCATCTTGGGTTTCTTGTGTTTAACAGGAAAGGCATAACTACAAGCTACTAAATTCTGTACAAGTAGCCACTCAATGTTTTACATTTAAATTTTTATGTGACTACAGGTGCTTTCCATTAAGAAATTCAGCTTTTCTATGTGTCTGGATGATGCAGCTCTTTCATATCGACAACTAGGAGATGCTGCTGGCTTTTTTCCTCTGTTGTGTCAGCAGTGGTTAGTTTTTACTAATGGGAAGCTAAAGAGCCAGAATACTTAAGTTTTTTCCTTTTTTTTTTCTGCCTAGCCATCAGCGGTGGTCCCCTGGAGAATCCATTCCGACTAAAGCAGTTTCACTTTCACTGGGGGACAAAGCACAGCCAGGGGTCAGAGCACACAATTGATGGCAAACCTTTTCCCTGTGAGGTAATAATGTGTTTTTACAGATGGGATTAATTTATGCAAATGCTGTTGGCAAATGCCTTTGCGGTGGGGACTGGATGTCTCTTAGGATTCCGATTGCTCACTCACCATGCATAGACTATAATGAGAATTAAATGACCGTGCTAGTGCTATCCATAGCTTAGAAATGGCTTCATCTGAGGGCTCTTGAGAAAGTTCTGCAAAGTTAAGATAAGGTAAAGGCCTTTTCCAGCACAGTCTATTCCAAATATTACAGAAGTGTAGCATCCTTGAATCTACCAGTGAGTACTACTGGAGCACAGTGCTTGAAGGCCTGTACCAGGGAAGTTAGGTGACAGGTTTCAAATGAAAGCTGTGTGGTGGGTTTGTCCTGGCTGGGTGCCAGGTGCTCACCGGAGCTGCTCTATCACTCCCCCTCCTCAGCTAGACAGAGGAGAGAAACTACAACAAAAGGCCTGTGGGTTGAGATAGGGAGAGTTTACTGATTAAATCAAAGAAGGATAATGAGAAATCAAACCAAATCTTAAAAACATCTTCCCTCCACTCTTCCCTTCCTCCCAGGCTTGACTTCACTCCAAATTTTCTCTACTTCCTCCACCCCAGCAGCACAGGGGCATAGGGAATGGGGGTTGTGGTCAGTTCATCACAAGTCATTTCTGCTGCTCTGTGCTCCTTGGAGAGAGAACTTCTCACACTCTTCTCCTACTTCAATGTGGCATTCCCTCCCATAGGAGCCAACACTCCACAAACTTCTCCAATGTGAGTCCTTTCTGAAGGCTGCAGTTCTTCATGAACTGCTCTGGCAAGCTCCTTCCCCTGGGCTACAGTTCTTCATGGACTACTCCAGTGTGAGTTCCCTGTCTGGTCACAAGTCCTGCCAGCAAACCTGCTCCAGCGTGGGCTCCTCTCTTGCCACGGGTCCTCAGGTCCTGCTAAGAGCTTGCTCCAGTGCAGGCTTCCCATGGGGTCCTAGCCTCTGTCAGGCATACATCTGCTCTAGCATGAGGTCCTCAATGGGCTGCAGGTGGATATCTGCCCTACTGTGAACCCCCATGGGCTGCAGGGGGACAGCCTACTGCACTATGGTCTTCACCATGGGCTGCAGGGTTTCTCTGCTGCTCTGGTGTCTGGGGCACCTCATCCCCTTCCTTTCACTGGCCTTGGTGTCTGCAGAGTTGTTTCTCTGCATTCTCCCTCCTTTCTCCAGCTGCAGTTGCACAGGTTTTTCCTCTTGCTCCTTCTTAAATATGTTACAGAGGTGCTACCGCTGTCACTGAGGGGCTCTGCCTTAGCCAGCAGTGGGCTCATCCTGGAGGTGGCTGGTATTGGCTCTGTTGGACATGGGGGGAAACTCTAGCAGTTTCTCACAGAAGCCACCCGTGTGGGACCCTGCTACCAACACCTTGCCAAGCAAACCTAATACACGCTGATAGATAGAAATGAGTTCAATGTCTGTCTGTGCTAATGGGCTGGTCTGAAAGATTGAACTTGCTCATCTTTCCAAAGATACCTTTGAAGCAAAATGTTTGTTCTGTCATGAATGGCTATTAGGTCCTGTTGACATGACATAACCTATGTTCACAACATGTATCACTATTTATTTTTCTTTAAAGCTCCACTTAGTTCACTGGAATGCCAGAAAATATGCAACATTTGGAGAAGCAGCAGCAGCTCCAGATGGCTTGGCAGTAGTTGGTGTTTTCTTGGAGGTAAGAATCACAAAAATAGCATGTTTACATGATAAAAAGCATTATGCTGTCAAGTGTTTGAGAACTAAGCCACGTATTTAAGAAGTGCTTAAGGAAAACAGATGACTTGTTGGAAGCAGTAACTCATTGCAAATTGCTGTTAAACTAGCTTTAGTAGGAATGCTGAGATTCAGATAAAAACCCAACACCTGTTCAAAGAATAACTGCAGTCATTCCTATTTAACCTGTCTATTCCATTATTTTAGATTGGGAAAGAACATGCCAATATGAATAGACTCACTGATGCTTTGTACATGGTAAAATTTAAGGTAAGTTTTAAGCTCTTTTAATTGTTTCTGGGATATCCTTTAAAAATCAAGCTCACGTATACGTTTGAGACAAAAATGGAACATCAACCCCCATATATCTTCCCATCATTACAACATCACTGCAGTTTAATTTTCTTCTTCCCCTCCAAAATTAATCTTGTTTAGAACAGAATCGTAAAATAGAATGTGCTGGGTTGGAAGGGACCTTAAAGATCACCTAGTTCAAACCCCCCTGCCATGGGCAGATGCACCTTCCACTAGATCAGGTTGCTCAAAGTCCCATCCAGCCTGGCCTTGAACACTTGCAGGGATGGGGCATCCTCAGCCTCTCTAGGAAACCTGTTCCAGTGCCTCCCCAGGCTATGCTGACCCCACCGGTCATTCAGAGGTTCTACATTTCCCAGAGTATCTGAAGTCAAAAGCTCCATGGCCCTTCAGGCTCAGCTCTTACACTCAGCAAAATAATCCTTTTCCACTGAGCCTAGCCTTGAACAAGTCAAAACTGGCTGGCTGTTTTCTGCTGCAAAGCTCTGTCAGAAGATAATCTTAATGAGGCCCTGAGTTAGTCTGTTATTACAGCAATACCTGATGGTGGTCTATTAATCAGATGAATCTGAGATCTTTGCTTAAGTTTGATACCTGCTGCACTTTCTCAAGTGCAGACTGATTAGAGCACTACAGATTTTATCCTTTCTGGATTTGCATGAGGTTCATGTATTCTGTAACATGCAAAAGTTCTAATATGCAAAATAAACTGTATCTAATACTTGAGTGGGCACATTATTTCTCACTCCTGTCTATGTGCTTGTGAAAGATGGGAAGTGAAGGTAGTTACACAGCAATATGTAGGCTGCAGACACACTGAATAATACTTTGGTGTTTAAGTGATCTCTTCCACTTGCAGGAGAGAAATAGGTATCTCTCAGTTGGAGTGATGGAAGGTCTGCAGGCTTGCCACTGGGAATAAGCTGCTCATTTTTTCCTTATCAGCAATTTTACAGGCAACGGGACAGTGATTTCTAAATAACTAAGTACCTTGCAGATACTCCTACAGGCTGAAAAATCTTACACTACGCTCTGGTAGTTAAGGCAATCACTAGTTTAGGCAACACCTCCTGTTTCTAATGGCCTTTTGGTTGATCCACCTTCCTCTAGTTTTAGACTAGAACATTTTATTTTTTCAAAGCAAATGTTTTTCCTAGCGGATGATGATTGTTTGGTGCAAAGTGTTCCATAGTTTGATTTTTCTACTGAAATAGATGGGAAGGTTAGAGCATAGCAAGTAATGAAACAAGGAATCCTGCCATGGTATTATGTACAGGTCACATTGAACACTACACGCAGAATAAATTCCTGCATTACTTTTAGACCTTTTGTGACAAGAGCTGAACTTTGGTAGAGGCACTGGGGCAGGAACTTAAAAGTCTAGTAAGCCAGAGGCAAGCATCACACTTGCTCTACTACCCTAGGATAACAGTTGTTATAAGGCAGCCAAACCTTTATATATTTTTCCTTTCCCCTACTTTTTAATTTTACTTTAGCATCTTTTTCTCCTTCAAAGAGTTCTTTAATCTGCACTTAAAAGTGAAAATAGAAATTTCAAGTATATTTTTTTCCCCAGGGAACAAAAGCTCAATTTAGAAGCTTCAATCCCAAATGTCTCCTGCCCTTGAGTCTAGATTACTGGACGTACCTTGGTTCTTTGACAACACCACCTCTTAATGAGAGTGTGACATGGATAGTGCTCAAAGAACCCATCAGAATTTCTGAGAAACAGGTAAACATTCGATACTCTCTCAGTTCTTGCAGGATTCAACCCTGGATAAAGAGGTGGTGGGTGTTTTGGTTTGAAATGGGGCTAAGTAAAAGACCATTAGCCTGTGAATAATCAGCCTGTTCAATAATAAGGGCTTCTATTTCTTTCTGTTACTACTCTCTAGGATCTTTGTTTGAATCTGTTCTATTAACAAAATGTATTGAATAATTCCCTTTTGTCCTTCTCTTAAAAAAATGATTGCCTTCTAAAGCAGTAAATTATTTCACCTGAATTTACAGCTGGAGAAATTCCGTATGCTCCTCTTTACCACTGAGGAAGACCAGAGGATCCAAATGGTGAATAACTTTCGCCCTCCTCAGCCTCTTAAGGGGAGAGTAGTTCGAGCTTCCTTCAAGGCCTGAAGAAAACTGACAATGGCCCTGAGATAGCCAAGATCTTCCATAGCTGAGATACCATAAACAGAAACTTGAGTGTTCAGATCCTCATGGAACACACAAGATAGCTGTTTCCATGAACACTCTACTTGGAGGAGGACAATCTTCTGATTTTAGATTTTGACTTCTTTGTTCTTTTGAGAAATGGCATCTTTTTAACTAGCACTTTTTAATATAAGGGATAGTTGAATAAACTAGAGTGTTTTCCAAGACCTGAAACTCTAAAAATTAAGGTGGAATTCAAATCCCGCTTAATATAAAATGGGAAATTATGTAGTAACCTACTAGTATTGATGGCCACAACTTCTATTTCTCATTTAACACATGAAAAAATAATAGTCAATTTTGGACAAATTTTAACTAAGTCTTCCTTACAAATCTCTTGTTAGCATTTGCTGAGCTCTCTCTGATTTAAATATTGCTTTCACTGTATTCTTGCTGCCTGACACACACAGTGCATGTGGGCAGCACTAGAAAAGTTCTTTACTCACCTCAAGCAGGCATTGGTATGAAAAGTACACATATTTTAATGTTACTGTTCTAAGATGCTATTTTATAACTAATTTAAAATAACAAAGTGAATGCTGTGTTTAAGCAGGCCATTTTACTGCACAGTGTTGCTCAGACACTTGCTCTTTCAGCCTGTGCAGCATACAGAACTATACTGCACTTGTCAGTTGGGTTGAAAAGAACATCTATAGCAATTCAGGTATGTGTTTTGTGCTTCTCAATTGTTCAACTTCTACCTCAGTTAAGTGATTTGCTCTGCAATGCAACCTCCTTCACTGTCTGGCCTAAGGAGAGTAGATATTTTATTTACTTTAGGGACCTAACATGGCTAGACCTTGACTGCACAGAACGTGCATTGCTGCACAAATCAGCCCCTCACTATGGCAGTCGGTCAGGGAGACTCCCTGCAAAGAGCAGGTTTCAGCAGTCCCAAGTCCTTTCACTTTTTCAAAAGAATGTTGCTCTAGCAAAGCCATGTGTTAGTATTACTGCTTCTGCAGCTTAGTGACAAAATGCAGACTTTTGTCTCCAGCACTAAATAAAGTGATGTTATCTGTAACTACTCACAGTCTGTTTTCAGTGACTTTAATTCTGGGCTTCAGATGTTTTACTTCATCTGTATAGTTCAAATAGAAATTGATTATGTTTATCAATTTTCATCATCTTAGCTGGAGAAATAAAAGATACACAATGTAAAGGAAAGCAAGGGGAAAGGAGAACAGCAACCATGAGCCATTTTCCTTTTCCAGAAAGGGAGAAAGACATTAGATGTGAAGTACAGTACAAGGAATGGAAGACTAGAATTCTAGACCTAACTCTTCCACAGTTTTTCTGGTATACTGACCTAAAACTTCCCATTCCTCAGTTTCCCCTTATATAAAATGAGGGTAGAACTGACCTACCTCACTGGGATGTTGTGAGAGCTAATTCAGCATTGGTTTAGATGTGAAATCTTTACACAGCAGATGCTAAAGGAAGCAAAATCATTACAACATGCAATGATTTTAGCTCTTATGAATGTAACCTTACTAGTAATGCAAAATGGTATTGCAGGAAATCTATTTAATGTATCTTAATTTCTTTAACAAATGAAATAAATGAGACTTTAAAATCAAATGCACATCTTTGTCCTTTGAGTAGACCTACCTATTCCTGCTTACAGCACTGTTTCTCTTGGACTTTAACAGAAATAGTGTTGGGTATCTTCTATTGATGCATGTATTTTGGATGAAGGAATGCTTTGATTGTTTAACTTCAGTTTCATAGAAATCTTGATTATATTATAGTGGAATAATCTAAGTACATGTAAGAGTTCTCTCTCCCAAGTTTTTGGCCTTTTTTTAGGTTTTAGAAAGCCTACTTCTGTTCAAAAGCTATTTTTAGTCTATATCACAGTTCTTCCCATCTTTTGGGACTTGCAGTTTCTCCTTCAGCTTAATCTTTTCACTAAAACAAAAATTATTTTGTGCCTCTTGAATGACTTCTTGCCTGATCAGAGTTAAATTGTTGTAATGAATCTCATGTCCCTGTTAAAATTAAAACCTACATGAAGATGCTCATTTTAAAATGTAAAGTCTTTCAAAAGAACCTTATTTATTTGATGTAATGATATTATGTACATAGATATTATGTATCTGTAGCCCAAATACATATTTTTTAAAGGGTAAATTAAAATGCCTTCCTGATGATAATGTAACCAGTATTACTTAGCATATATAGCTTAATCAAGCCACCAAAATACTGCTGCATTAGCACTAGTACACACTTTCACAGAGCAGGTCACTGATCAGTATTTCCAATGTTTTCTTTCATTCTAGGCATATAAGTAGGTTTCTGCTCACTCAGTTTCTCACAAAAGGTGAAGAGGGCCTGTTTAACAAAATTTTTGTCCTGTTTTTCCCCAGCTACAACCACTCAGTCTAATTAAATAAAAATCTTATTTATCCACAGAATGTGTCCATTCTTGGATATGACCTTGAACAAAGTACTTAAGCTGCTTTAAGGGTGGTTTATTCATGAACAACAGAAGGATAATGTTTAGCTCACAAGGTTATTGTAAAAGCTTAACTATTGTAAAGAGCTTTAAATGCTGAATCCCCCAAGGGGTTCAGTTTCTTGGAGAATCTGAACTATACCTTCATAAATAATTTTTATCTTATTTACCAGGGGTGTTCCAGTTTTTGAATTAAAGAAAATTATCTGGTTTTACCATGGTAAAGCAAAATATAAAGTGAAGTCTTTTACATTCTTCATTGTTTCTTGAAACCCTCACCATCCAATAAAAAAAAAGCACAAATATTTAATTTTTGTATGGTTTTAAATCTATGAACTACATTATACAATTTAATGCACTTCATTTGTTTTGATATTAAGGACATTGCAAGAGGAAATATCGAATACTATAAAGTGAATACTAAAAAGTGAATTTTATTGTATACATAATGAATGATGCAGTCTGTGTGATGAAGGTATAGTATTGAGTTAGTTAAGCTTTGATGTACCCTCTTTTCCTTGTAACTGAAAATATACTCCATGATGAGAATATAACAAAAATATTGAGTCTGATTGTTCCCCATCAAAAGACTTAAAATCAGCAATCTAAGTTATTTTTCAGGAATAGCAGAGCTTCACTGATTCTTTCTCATTTAGCAAAAGGTCTCCTAGTAACAATATTCTGGGGTACAAGGAACAATATCCACTTGTATTCCTTATACACATTCTTGACTTGTTAATGCATTGGTTTAAATAGTGAACTTGAGAGGTCTATAGCAAGAATGTTTTCCCCCCAACATTATTCTATCTTCTATCTATGAGAAAAGGATAATCAAGCCCAAGGGCTGTGTACTGTATTTATAATAGGCTTTGAGCCACTCAGAAGATGTTAACTATAACAGTACAAAGTTCTATTATTTCATAATTCCACTTTTGATTTGAGCTATATTTCAGTGCTTGCATATACAGACAGGACCATCAATTGACAAAATGTTGCATTTGTAAGACCATGGGAATCAAGCTGCTCTTACCACTTCGTTTGCCTGAACTCCTGGCAGTATTCTAGCTAGCACCTCTGTTACAAATGTCCCCCAAAGGCAATTTGCAGGGCCAAGTACCTGTGCTGTGCATCAGTGCTTTGTGAGGATCTGCAACAACCTCACTTGCTCTGTTTTTCATTCTGAGCTGTCTTTCATTTGCACACAAACATGACCCAGCAAAGCTCCTCCATCGAGGTCGTTCAAATTCCAGAGCATGTGCTATCCTTATCTTCTACCAGCCATGCTGAATTAAAACCAGCAGTAGTACCGGACTACTCCAGCAAGACTTGGCTTAACTCAGAATAGGATGACAGCTGTCACAGCGGGAGAACACGAGCCCTTGTTTGTGGGAGCGCCTGAAACGCCCCTGCTGTGAACCCTGCGCTGGCTAAACGTGCCATCTAGTGGCTATCTGTTCCCGTTCCTTACCACAACCCCTAAAACAGTTTTCAGGACCAAATCAGTCAAAATACAACAGATGAGAGAATGTGACTTTGACAATAATTATTTTTACAGGTAAAGTGAGTGCAATTGAAATCCCTGTGCTGGCTGTACATGTGCAGTCCTTGAAACTCCTTTATCAGCTAAAACTCCATCTGAAAAAGAAACTGATTAAATTAGTTACAATTTTTTTGTTCCTCTTTTCACTGAGACAATGAAGATATCCTCTGCCTGGTAAATTGCACACTATCTTAACCGTATTTTTTAACTTTAAAAGCTACAGTTAAGGCTTGACATAGTTTTGGTTATTTTCCCATCCTCTGCAAACAGAAAGATTTTCAGGCAGTTTCAGTGATACAAGTTATAATATCTAGCAGTGATTTATGAAGATAAATTTCACGATGAGTGTGAATTAACCCAAATACCAGCATCTGGGTAAAAGTGTTGCAAGATACTTTGTCACCAGATGGTGTTTTTGGTGGTGTTCAAAGGTCAGAAAGATAAAAAAAGGGAGCATTTCAGGAAAAAAAACAGAGATAAGCCTGAAAAAATAAGACGTTATCTTATACCTCAGATGATCTGTTCTTCTCTCCAAATTCCTTCTGCATGCAGAAGTGACCATTCAGTGAAGACACCAAGCATCAAAGCACATTGCTCTACACTGCCTGTACGAGCGGGGTCTCAAGTATTTCCTCACTGAACCTGAGGACACTACAGTATACTGATGAAACCTGACTGACTCTAACAGAACTATCCAAAATTTGCATCTGTAAGGCAGAGAATCTTTATACCTGTGATGTTTCATTTATCCTGCTACTTGCATTACATTTGAATTTTAGGAAAATTTCAGCCCCTCACTCCAGGTTGTGAACAGCAACATAGTAATGCAAACCATTGTTTCATTTAATTTCACATAAATATAGTGGAATATTAAATGCAGCAATTCAGGAATCAACTCAGCCTGTTCATATGTTGGAGAAGTAAAGTTGGAAGGAGGCAAGAAATGTCGTTACTT